TCCCTGCAAATGTCATTATTTTGTCCTTTCTAATGACTGCATAATATTCCATTGTGTATAGATACCACAATTTTTGGATCCATTCATCTGTGGTGGGACATCTGGGTTGTTTCCATATCCTAGCTATTGTGAACAGTGCTTCAATAAACATGGAGGTGCACGTGTCCTTGTATATTGGTTCCTGTTGTTCAGGGTAGATGCCTAGAAGTGGTATGACTGGGTCGTAAGGGAGGTCAATCTTTAGCTTTCTGAGGACCCTCCAGACTGCTTTCCAAAGTGGTTGTATAAGTGTACATTTCTCCACATCCCCTCCCGCATTTGTTGTTGGCTGACTTGAGGATGTGGGCCATTCTGACTGGGGTAAGGTGGTATCTCAGGATTGTCTTTATTTGCATTTCCTTCACAGCCAGGGATGGTGAACATTTCCTCATGTGTTTCTTTGCCATTTTTATATCTTCTTCTGAGAAGTCTCTAGTTCCCTTGCCCATTTAGTAACTGGTTTATTAGGTTTGGGAGGGATTAGTTTCTTGAGTTCCTTGTATATACTGGATATTAACCCCTTGTCTGATATATTGCTGGTAAATATTTTTTCCCAATTAGTTGGTTGTCTTTCTAGCTTGGTTGCGATAGCTTTAGCTATGCAGAAGCTTCTTATTTTAAGGTAGTCCCATTTGTCTAGTCTCTCTCCAATTTGTTGGGACCCTGGGACTCTGTTCAGGAAGTTCCTTCCTGTGCCTATAAGTTCAAGTGTCTCTCCTACTCTGTCCTGCAGTAGTTTCAGAGATTCAGGATTAATGTTAAGGTCTTTAATCCATTTTGAGTTGATGTTGGTGCATGGTGATAGGCTGGGGTCCACTTTTAGTCTTCTGCATGTGGCCGCCCAGTTTTCTCAGCACCAGTGGTTGAAGAGGCTGTGTTTCTTCCATTGTATGTCTTTGGCTCCTTTGTCAAGTATCAGATCACTGTAGACATGTGGATTTATTTCTGGATCTTCTATTCCATTGGTCTTTGGGCCTTTTTTTGTGCCAGTATCATGCTGTCTTTGTTATTATAGCTCTATAGTAGAGTTTGAAGTTCGGCATGGATAGCCCTCCCATATTGTCTTTATCCCCTAGAATTGTTTTGGCTATTCTAGGTCTTTTGTTGTTCCATATGAATTTTTGGACTGTTTTCCGTATTTCAGAGATGTACGTCATTGGGATTTTAATAGGAATTGCATTGAATTTGTATATTAATTTTGGCAGTATTGCCATTTTCACTAGATTGTCTGCCTATCCAAGAGTATGGGAGGTCTTTCCATTTCCTAGCGTCTTCTGTAATTTCTTTCTTTAACTTTTTATAGTTTTCATTAAGTAGTTCTTTTACATCTTTGGTTAGGTTAATTCCTAAATATTTTATTTTTTGGGAGGTTATTGTGAATGGGGTTGCTTCCTTTATTTCCCTCTCTTCCTGTACGTTATCAGTGTACAGGAAGGCAACTGATTTTTGTGGGTTGATTTTGTATCCTGCTACTTTGCCAAAGTGATTTATGATTTCTAAGAGTTTGGGGATGGAGTTTTTGGGATCGTGAAGGTATAGTATCATGTC